TACTCAATTCTCCTTTATCAAGCCCAAATGATTGGTATGTTCATTGTCTTTGGGTTAATATTTTTAGCTGTAAGTCCATTATTACTGGCAGCTTTACCATGTTTAGTGTGCTATAGATTATTTTGCAAATTTAGAGGAAAAGGTAGACGTTCTACAAAATATACGTCATCATAAATATAATACAGTCAAAAATTAACTTTATTATTTTTTTATTATAATTTGAAGTAAATTTTGGTTTGTATTATTAAGTACTATAAATTAAATGTAAATTTCTTGTCGAATATGAAGTGGAATGATTGATAATGTACAAATAACCTATTGTTTGTTGGAATAAATTTTTTTATGCAATTTAGACGTTCCTATAAAAAAAAAGCAAATTTTTATTCAAGTTTAGAAAATGAAAGTAACGTTTTAACGTGTCTGAAAGACTTCATTTAAAACGTTTTCCAAGTTAATATAATATTAAACTTTTGTTTAAAATCCAACTATAAAATTGTATAAAAATAACATTGAAATATGAAAATAGGTGTAGTAAATGTATCAGTCGCCCGGGAAAACTTTTTCGTCTAGATAATTGATGTACTGAAAGATTTAGTAACAGCAGAGAGTTTAAAAAGAGATTATTGAAAACACAGAAGTGACCCGCAAATCTAATGCGAGAGAAATTTGCCATTGTTCGACAAACATAGTCAGGATACACTAATTCGGGTTATGAGTACATTTTAATGACTAGAATACTAATTATTTTTGTTACTGAATATAAATCCGGTCGAACTGAAGTAAGCAAACTTATTCAGTCTAGAAAATACGAGTGGTAATTTAACTACAGTTTGGTATAACTGTAAACCAAATTAAATGTTTCGTGTAAATAATAAATCAAAAACATATCTGCCACCAATTAAAAGTAACAAAACGTTTCTCTTAAGTATAAGCCTGTTATATTAATTATTACATTTATAATTTTATCGTAAACTTTTGATATTATTTTGACACTATTGTAGTATTAAAATACCCCCAAACAATAGAGCCTAGTACAAATGGCATATACAATATAATGTAACAGCTGTATGACAACGTAACGCCTATCTCTTGATACTTTTACTTTTAAACGTCAACGGTGTACAGTTTATAATAATTGTTTACAGAGAGTAAAATAATATTTTCCGTGTTAAATATACGTCGTTCAGAAGTTTACGAACACTTTGTGGCATTCAGAACAGCTGTTGGCTGTTTTTTTTTAAATTGCAGTTCAGAAGAAAAATATATTACAGTCAGCGCAAAATCGACGCTTTTGGTTTAGAAAATAAACAATAAATATTAATCACTTGTGCGGATCTTAATTTTTTGTGCTGCATTATAAATTGTGTAGAATGCTAAGTAGTCTGTACCGTAAAAGGTGCAGATCGCTAAAGTTTAGTGGAAGGTAAACAGTTGACAGTTGTTTTTTAACTGATTGTTCGGCCACTGTTTGTTCATAAGCATTACTGTTTGATACCGGAGCGATTTGGTTTATGAAAACAACAAAAAAGGAGCTTATCGAATTTAATTGGAGTAAAAGCATTTCGCTGTGATACTTGTTCAATGGAACCGGCGGTTTATAAGGATTATTCAACGGGATGGGTTAAACCTTTTTTTTTTTTGCCATAGTAAACGTGCCCGGAAACCACCAGTAAGGACAAATATTATATCGTCTGCCGTATATTATTTTATTAAGTAATCGAAAACGGTTAAGCAAACTTCCTGACAGTAACAAACTACACCTAATACATAAATAGTCTTCAATTCATATACCATATAAAATACGTTCCATTCACTTGCGTTTCATCCATTTCAGATTTCCAACATGTTTTTATCGTTGTAATTTTATCTGTTGGTAATATGTTGTGAACTGGTGATTATCTTTTTTGCTACTTTGATTTGTTATTGTATTATATACATATACATATATATATGTAGCATCAAGTACAGTTCACATATGCAATAATCGTATATATATTTTTTTTTTTGCGCACTGATCGTTCATATCCGGAAAGAGATTAAAACACAGTGAAACTGTGTATCGCACGATAGAGGTCAAACAGAAATAACCCCTTGTGCACTCTATCAAGTTTAGCACATGCAGACAAATTGAAAAAATGTACATTTTTCCAACAAAAATAAATCGGATTTAACAAAATAAAATATATTCTCTATTATTTAGTATACCATTGCTTATTTGCAGAAAATAAAGTAATTAGTAGTTTTGAAATTATTTGTTAAAATTACAATACAAGTGAGTCAACAAGAAGTCTTAATGCCGTGTACTTTTTTTTTTTTAATCATAAAAATTTACTCGTAATGTAATTACTCATTTAGTGCACACAATTGAGAATTTCAATTTTCACAAAAACTGTTGTAATTCATTTGTGAATGGTGTTAGTGAAAATGAAAATAAATTCTAGAAAATTATTTTTACATAATGGTGACTCCGCCATGAGATTAAGTGTCGCAAAAGAAGGTGTTATTAATTTTAACTTTTCAATTTGTGTGTATCTTATCAAAAAAAATGGCAACTGTGACGTTGAAATATATGGTTGTCTAAAAATAAATAATTTTGCTATGCCAAACACAACGTAACTTTTTCCGCTATGGTTCGTACAGTAACGCGACAAATTAAGATATTAAAACTCGAGCCGCGGTGGTCAAAATGTACAGAGTTACATTAAAGTGTAACGGAACTTACTGGCGTGTTCAAATGGTATAATAATATACCCTTTATTTTATAACGTTTTAAATGAATGTATAAACAGCTATAGTGGTGACAGGTCGGTCGTGCAAGTCCCCCGTGCAATTTAAGAGCCGAGGAAAAATTGCACTCGGTAACGCTTTACGGCCGTATTGCTGTGCGTTTAAATTTAGTGCCGGCGAAATCGACAAAGTTACTCTTCGGGTTATTTGTCATGCGATACACTCGTGTCTGCCTAGTGTTTTATTTTTCACTTTTTTCTTGCTCGCTGCTGACGTTTTCGCGTACAACGCCATTTGTTTGTCGACTTGGCGCGCTCCCCCCTCACATCACACTGCGGCCCCTCGAGGGATGAGGCGTCGAGTTGACTTGTGACCGTGTGGGTACTGCCTACGCCGAATGAGCGGGTGGAGGGAGGGGGCAGCGGGGTCGCGGGTGCCGTCCGTAAATTATGCGTTTCCAGAAAGTTGTACGGGGCCGCCAGAACATGTTTATATTGTTATTATTTGAAGTCTCCTCGAAAAATAGTTTACATTTATTAACGTCCAATCCCAACGCCGTTTCGCAGCAACTATATCTCTTCCACCAGCACCATTTTGTCAGTACTTCCCTGGAATTCTTTCACCTTATTATTACTCTTGTCCGGGCGGCAGACGCGTTTCAAGCGCGAAGGAATAATTAAAAAATTACGCACTTGTCTAGTAATAAATTATCGATAGTTTTTTATATGTACATTTAAATTTGTAGTAATTGTTTAGTATTCATCAAAGCTGTCCTCGAACGTTTTCCATAACGAAAACCTAGAACTCTTCTGTATGACGTTAAAGTGCTGTGAAAAGTTTATTATTCAGTGACAGTTATTTTTTAATTTTACATCAATCGAGTTCTCGGGAAACGATAAAATTATCATCGTTCTGAATTAAATTTCTTCTTAAAAAGAAAGCTTTGTTGCATTTTTGTTATTGTTTCCTTTTTTCACACACAAAACTGCTAACGGTTAGTTATTTTTACGGTCTTCCATTACTTCTACGCATTGAAAGTTAAAAGTCAAACTTGTTTAAACCCATTATTTCTAACATGCTACATTTAATAGATTAAAATTAATTTTAATTTTAAAAATAACTCGTTTTTTTCGCTGGGTTTTATTTTTTTATAAGGCGATTTTCTTCGTGGCGTTACGCCTGGGTGAATATTAAAATTTAATAAATAAATAAATCTGAGTGAAAAATTGTTGATTTTGTTTGTTGGAACAACAACTCGGAGCGATTATTGTTTGTAGCTGTTCATTATTACACAGGGGTACTTACTACAAACAAGAAATACGAGAGAATATTATGTAGTGAGAAAACGCTTTTATTTTTACAGAATACATAATATTATGGTAGCGTTTACTACCCGGGGCAAGTTGGGCGAATAGGCATGCATGAAGGCAAGAGGAATATTGAGGAGAGGTAAGTGGGGGTGGTACGCAATATGCGGCTGCCAAAAAGCGTAGTAAAGTACCAACATCCCCAGCAGTGACCTCACTTTACGATTTTCCATTATATTCGCATATTGCATTGCTCGACAGCACCGTCACTGGTGTAAGCAGAACGTTACCGCGGGCGGACGGCCAAAAAAAAACTAAAAAAAAAAAAATTGAAAAGAAAAACCCGCTATTTGCCGGAAAATCGTCTTGTGGAGCCGCAGAATAAAGGACCGGAGCAGACATTATGCTGAATGCGAGTGCATGTATAGATAACATTTATAAGACTAGTGATGACCCAATAATGTTAAGTAAACGAGTACGCACAGTTTACGGAAGAACACGACAAAGTCGTTAGTCCTTTATTTTTATGGTTTGCATATCTCCCGAGAAATTCTTGGCCATCTAAGCTGATTCGTGAAAACAGTTTATCACCAAGAATATAAACACATTGCTGTTCCAGGTCGCGTTATTATTTTGAAAATAATTTTAAAAAAAAGAACGATTTGAATGCTGGAGGAAAAAATTCTAATTCTAATAGAACGTTCGTCTCCAAGAACGGGTAGAGGTGGTCTTATAAGTCTCGGGACCTTTTTTGCATGCCGTTTACACTTTGCGTATGCGACTCAAGTCCATTTTAAGCATTAGCCATAAAGATTTACTTTACTGTCCGTCATTGTTATTCATATCTCGTTTTCATGATTAGGACCAGTATTTTAGGTTTCTTTATTACGAATGTTGTTTTTTTTTCTCTATAAAATTTTAAACATTCTTATAGAGAACTTTTATAATGAGGAATTTATTTTACAGCACCTGAAAAGAAGTTTGAAGTATACCAAAAACGAGTCAACAACGACACTCTACGAGTCACTTGCATGGCTTCTGGCGTTTTCCCGTTGCCGAAATTGACGCTGTTCAACAACTCGGTCACAGAAAAACAGTGAGTACCTCCTATTGATTCTATGCAATTTTATGTATAACTGTTTTTGATGTATACGCAAAAAATATTAAATCTCGGTAGTATTTTAATTTTGAAATATTACCGAGATTTTACGCTTCTAAGCGTTGTAAAAAAAAAAAGTTCATCGCAGGATTACCTACTTTAAATAAAAACAAAAACCTCCGTATTTGTTTCATTTATCTCATTTGTTTTTAAATGTCTGTCTTTTTAACACTATATACGGTTTATTTGTACAGTAGCAACTGACGATAAATTTAAACATGTTTGCTAGTTTTATACGACGATCGTAACACCGTTATTTAATATGATTATTTCTTTTATTATGACGGCCGATGAAATTTGAAAACTTAAATGAATGGATCGTTAATAATAAATTAATATATTTAACCGTTTTAACAATCTCTTTTAAGTAAATCCATGTTTATCGCCTGCTTTGACCATTATTATCCACTAATAATTAATTATTAGCATATTTTAAACTTACTTATAGTACTTTGTAAAGAGTCTAATAAACTCAAGCCTATTTCGCACATAAAACGGAACACCGAAGAAAACCCTAATTAACTAATTAGACAGTTCTTTGAGTAAAGAATTTCCTTTATGACTTAAGTTTACAAAATCCTATATTAGTAGTTTACGGGTAATTCGACGTTGTGGAGTTATGTTTCATATTTTAATAAAAAATGAATTCTTTGAGAGAAAGAAACTTTAATTTATTTAAAATTCATTTGCAAAAGTTGATTCGACGACTACTATTGTATAGGACTTTTTGTGTGACTGTCGATGATTCGGAAATGTGTTGTTCGTGTTTAATCTGAGCAGGGAAGTTGATCGTATTGCTTTTACATTAATATGATTTTTTTTTTTGTAATTCGTATACGTTTTTTTAGAGTTTTTCTTTAAGATTCGACTTCTCGTAATATTATTTCCATTGCGATGAAATGAAAAATACAACGTACACCGAGAGTGAGATGAACGTGAATTATTATTATTTTTTTTAGCTTTACATCTCATTCAAATCACTTCGAATGATATTTTAATATATGTATATTCACGGCATCTGAATCCGGACAAAAAGAAACGTTACAATAATCAAAGAAAGATTCGTTGGATTCTCTAAAACAAGTTCATAACTATCTATTACTAAAATTAAATACGTTCCTATCTAATACGGCCTATTGGCAATTAATCGCCGTTACTAAGTTCTATCTACGCACAAAGACCAAAAACACTATTGTACGATAACGTTGAATTATGTAGCCAGTTTTTGTGCTGTCTCGGATAAACGCAAATGACGATTTCATTACAATGTTGTTAGTCGGCTACAAAAACCATCGATCCTTTTCGGTAGGCATCGGTACCTACTTATAACGAAAGTGTCACGTGCAGGCAACATGAAGTAGCTTCAGTCGACAAAATAATGGAAACGTCACTGGTGGCACTGTATATGTTAATATTAACACAGCGGGAATGCACAACAATGGATTACTGAACAGATGACAAATATACAATCTTATTAGTGTTCTTATCGACCGACAATATGATGTTTCTTCGTTAATTGTTAGCAGAGAAATATATCATCAGACGTGACACTCCGAATGGAATCGCCACGTCGCTCGTAGCAAAAGTCTCAATCTTGACTAACAATAACATAGCACGATTGATTTACCCTGCAACGATAGTTGACATACCACAATTGTTAGTAAAATAACTGAGAGTTAGTCGAATTTTTCAGCTCCATCATCACACCGCATTAATACTGTCTTTTTTCATATTCGATAAATCTACTTAGATGACTATTATTGTGTACAAAGATAAAAAGACTGTAATTGAATTTACTGAACTGAACAAATCAATTCCCTCGATAAAAAAAATCTGATAATAAACAAGGTGAGACTATAAAAATGTCTTATTTTCCGTTTATGAGTTTTATGTTTCGAATTGAGTGACTGAGTCATATTGAAAAAAAACTTTAACAATAAAACACAAACCGGATTATTGAAACTTGATATTTTTCAATAAATGTCATTGTTACACTACTATTTTCCTCAGAAATGGTCTTAAGCCAGTAAAAATCTGAAGAAATCTGCTATTTATACTATCTTGCCAAACTCTACTTAGGAATGTAAACGTCACTATTATTTACCACCAGTGTAGAAAAATATTCGGAAATCAATTTTCTCTCAAACCAAATGGGCAGATTAGTTTTGAGTACTCGAGGGAAAATACTAAATTTTTCTAGTGCATGTACCAAGTTTTACGATAAAAAATTATATTATTACATTATGATCAAACCAGACGTGCTGCTCAACACTTTCGATTCCTTCATAAGTTATTTTTCTACGAATGTATAGACGGACTTCAGAATTACTTTTTGTTATTGTCATTGGGTCAAAATAGGACAAGTTTATTTATTCACTTTTTTTTCATTACTTTTAAAAGTAATAAAGAATTTCGAAGGAAAATGAAGTACAACCTCATTTTATCAATTTTATAAACCGCAATGATGTTATTACTGATCACGTAATTACTTGCATTGATATTAGTTGATATAAAATAACGTCAATAAATTTGCTAATGACTGCAATTGAAAATATGTAAAGTAATATAATTCAATTAGCTTATAATGAAAATTTTGGAAATAACGAGAAAAATTACACTATTGCAAATGAAATTAGACTTTTTGCGCGAACAAGGTGTTATTACGAGTACGTCATTTCATAACTGTTTGTTCTATAAAAAATTAAAAAACTCTAATATTGTGACGCGTAAACATATTTCATGATGCGATTTTAAACTCCACAAATTGGACATAATTGCGAGTATAAACGACCAGTGCTTGACTCCTCGCTGATTGAAATTAAACGGGTTATGGTCCGGATATGTAAATTTTATTTGTTTCCGATTCAAAAGTAGAACCCATTAAAGAGCGACCCGAGACAAAAGGCATTTTGGGTGAAAATCGGAACGACCCTTCCTACTATTTCCCATGTGTTTCCCGATATTATTATAAATTCTCCCCATCAACAGCTTGTATATAGGACCACTCAGGTTTTTATTTAATTTATACGCTTCCTCTTTTAGCTTTTTATTATTGTCAACAGGTTTCGATTTAGGGATTCGTAATCCGATGTGATAGCGTAGCCATAGTTTTATTTTATTTTTAGTATACATTGTCCATTTTACGACTCGCGGACTGACCGAATTCGATTAAGAAAACTAAACGCGTTACAAAGACCACCGCAACCAAATTTTATCAAAATTTTTCTGATATACAGTAACTTTAGATATCTCATTAAATTAAATCTATCGAAAACATAATAATTTGTTAATTTTATAACTTAACTATGAAAAAATACTGATTTATACTTTCTTTTACTGATTAACTAATTACAGAAGTTATGCATTGGCCAATTCCCGTTACGACGTCAATCGGTTAAAAGACGGATACTATGAAGTAATCATCAGTGTTCTTATTAATGAATATGATATCGAACCTCAGTCTTCACTGGATTGCGAATTAAAGATACCGGACACGCCGTACGTCAAGAGAAAGACATTTGTTTACTTTCAAGGTAAGTTTATGGTTTTATATAACGATAGAATACTTTGAAATCTGATATTGTCTTCTTCAATAATAAAGTTATTGAATGATTTCCGGTTATGTGAATCCACAATTTAACATTTTTTAAAATAATAAAATCTTTTAATTAAAATTTTTCAACTCCTAAATTATTGAACAGCATTTTCATCGTCAGTATTTACATCCACCGAGTATCTAGAACACCTTATAAACAAAGTTTTCGCACAATGTATTTAAACTATTTAACCTAACATTTTCAGTAAGCTTTAGAAATTAATATTATAATAAAGAAGTTTTTGCTATTCCATTTATTGTTGAGATATTACATTTTGAGAATAGTAGATAATTGGAAAAAAAATGTTAAGTAATCTTGATAGTAGACATCCAGCGCTTATTTTAAGCCACTTTCTTGTGTAGAGCTCAAAACATCTTATTTCCCGAGCAAATTGATTAAGAAATGTTTTTAATTTTATTTTATGAAAAAATATTTATTTTATCGATTACAATAGTGTTGAGTTTACGATTATTTTCAGAATAATTCGATTTTAAAAACGAGATAAACTGGTGCCACTAATGTACATTTGAACTTTTTATTAATTGAATAATCGAAAAACAACTCGCAAAAGATGATTTCAAGTTGTTATTTTTCAATAACTTATAAGTAACGAAAGTTAAATGGCAATATCGAATCCGAGTTTTTTAATATTTCAGCCGTGTATAACAATTGTCAGGTCAGAGTATTTCTAAAATTAATATTTTTGATAAGAGAATTTAAGTAAGTTTTAATATAATAGGTTGTATTATGGTACTTTTGTATTGGAAACGATTCTTTTTTCTCTTGATCCAAAACAAAACTATTATGCTTTAAAAGTTAAAATAGAAAAATCGTCGCGTTCGAACGTTTAAATTACACAGGAAATTAAAGCTACATAATCAAATGAAATTCGCAGATTTAATTCAATCTAGATATTCCATAAGCAGGGCTGTGATTTATATGCGTTTATAAGTTATTTTGAACACACAATCGGCCAGTACAAATTTTTAATAGTTGACTTGAAAACTTAGTAATGTGTTTTTTCTGATGTTATAGTTTTAAAGGATTAGGGAGATTATCTGCAACTAAAACAAAAAATATTTCTGCATTACTATATAATCCTATGACAAAGTTGCACAAACTTGGGACTGTTCAAAGTGGCTCAAACAAAATTTAAAAATGCATATAATTCACAGCCTTATTCATAAGGTTTTTATTGTTCCACATAAAACAGATAGCGTTACTCTAATAATGAAAATGATTTTCAATATCTGGTACATCGGTTAGAATTCCATTGAATATGAAAAAATATTAATTTACCGAGATATTTGTTCCTTTGTAGTGCACAGCCGATAGCTCCGTGATGTAATAAAAACGACGGAAAAAGTTTAATATATATGTGTGAAATTATTATTATTTTATATAATGTAAGTCAAACTCTGTAGGCGGCATTGATCCTCAGCCGAAGGCGCTGTTGTAGATGCAGTTTGATTCGCTTTTGCCAGACTCGTACCTAAAAGATATTTAAAATTTAAATCGAAAATGATAAAATATAAATATATACATATATAACCGCCGTGAGAAAACCTATATTATTTTTAAGAATTTACATAAAACATACGGGGTGCGACAACACAAATAAAAACCGTTCAAAACTGTTTTTTAACTTTCATAACGAGCAAGTATTATATCTATTGCAACAGGAAGTGAATATTTTTCATCGAAAAATTTAACGAGTTATTTTTTGTGGAATCAAAAGTTGAACGCCGTAGTTGTCAGAAAGTACCGAATAAAGTCAAAATTCAAAAATTCAAATAATAGTACTTGTTATACTGGATCATAAAGATTTATAAATCCAATTCAAATTACGATGCTCTATCGACAAACGCTAAATATTAGTGAATTGACTTAGTTGCTTTTACAAATAAAATCTGCAAAAGATTCAACGATTATGATCTACTCAGATTTTCGATATTTCACCGGAAGTCTTGCATTTATTTTAAGAAATTAGAAAATTCAGTTATATCATTTGATATCGTTTTCATTATTTTAGTGTATTGTTTTGATTATATTATCTAATTCAGTTATGAATTATAAATTGGAAATAGAACGGAGTAGAATAATTTTACACAACTGTGATAATACTTCCTATGGTTTGACAAATAATTTATAATTTATTCAAGTATCACATTATTTAGTATTTATTTAAAATAGATTTGCCATTAAACGTATAAAGCAAATTATTTAAATAGTGCAAAAATAGTTTTATTGAAGTAGCAAAAAAAGTGAATAAACGTTTGTGTTTCATTTCTTGGGAAATATTCTCGAAAAATTTCTTCTAAACTTGGAAAGAAGAATAAAATCCAAATAGTCTAATTTTTTTTGGACTTTTTTTCAAGTTTTCCATATTTCTGACTAAGTTTTTATTTTCGAAGAAATAACAAGACGAATTAAATTTTGACTTAAATTCATAAATCAACTTAACAAATTAATTTTCAATGATTTGTTAGTAATGATATTATGAATGTTATGATACTAAAAAGTTGATCCGAAGTGCGATTAAATTTACTTCCATTCGAGTACATTGTTCTTTCATTTTAAAACAATATTTCATGATCAAGAAATAACTGACCTCCAGCTTATTTTGATTAAGAAAACAAAAATGAGGGTTATATAATCACTATATGTACTCATTAATTTTACATTTCACTAAAAATTTTAGTAACCATAACGTAAAATAGTATTTTATAAATATAATTTAATAAGCGTATATCATTAAAACTTTAAATTATTCTTACTGGATTATTTACATATCTAAAAGTATAGTTTTATGTTGATCATTATGAATAAATAGAATTGGTAACAATTTAGGTTTATTATTTTATTAAAAATATACAAATAATTCATAATAAATAGTACATAAAATTTTAAAATGAAATGTGCAATTCCTTTTCATTGTAATTTATTCTTCTAACTTTATAAAACTATATTTATTAAATAATTATGTGTTTCTACATATTTCGATTTTGTGCTGCAAAAATATAATTACATTACTATCAAAATACTTCATTAGAACTAAAACTAAAACTAAAACCATTTTTATTTTTCTTGAAGCAAATTTTTTTATTAAAAAGTATAAAATTTTCCTAAATAAAATAAAATATTTTTCAGCATTATTTTTATAACTTTGTGTAATTTTTTTTTTAAGCAAATAGAACAGCAATTAATGTTTAATAAAGAAAATATTTCATTTGGGTGTTACTACACACTATAACTTAATGTATATCATTTGTATAAAACTTAATTAACGTGGAAACCACAGGGTACTGCAGTAGAGTTTTTCAATTTAAAGTTTTCTAATAATAAAAATAAAAAAACCATTTATGGCGGTTGATTCTCTGGTATGCTATTTAATTAATAAGTGATAACCGCATAGGTGAACGCGGATATAAACTATACAATTATAACTGTTGTAGGTTTTATTTTTCAATTATAAAATTCATATTTTCTAGAATAAATCGACTTATTTTCCGCGAAGAAAAACAATCATAAAAACTTCCGACCTTATTCTCTGTACTACTGAGAAATAATAAAATCTCTGGTAGTCAATAAATCTTGGAAAAAATTTATGTTTGGTCTTGGATGAAATTTTAATAAGTACTTATATAAAAATGTTTTAGTTGAGTTCTTAAAAATTACCTAAAATAGAAACTATAATTACAACTGTTATTATTATTGGAATTTAAATCACTTAAAGTGAGTTCATAATAGTTATTTTAATTAAAAAATAAAATAATTATATATATATATAATGTTAAAATTTACGGAAGCTATTACGTTACATAAACCTCAAGTTGAGAATAATATCACTTTGCAATGTGTGTATACGTTGAGTATATTTAATTTTATCGTATAATTAATTCATACCTTTAAGCATCGTCTCTGTAGTTAAATTTTTACGCCGACTTACGAATAATTTACGACACTCCAAACTGCTCTCTGGAATGGCGACGTGTGTCAAGATACTTTAAATGATAAATTTACCGCCTGATGAATTCTGTAGAATGAAATCATGAATTAAAAGTGTAGAGATAATTTAGGCCTCTTGTCAGAATGCATTATTATTTGAGCTCAAATTTCGCCAATAAAATCAACAGTTTATGTGAGTCGCTATATACTATTTAATTATCTTGTGTTCACCATTATTTTCTTCTGACGGTTATTGTTAATTGTTGGGTCATTTAATGAATAATTTACTACATCATTAATTAGGGCCCGTCATTAGCAAACATTATCTGCTGACTTTGCTCGTTTGTAATTTCTAGTCCTTTAAAAACGCACACGGCTCCCGGATACCATTCACCGAAATCGGATTTTCGCCCCATATGTTTTATTTTATCTTCGGCAAAAGAGTTGAACAATTTCGTTCCTATTACAATAATAATACTATGTATTGGTATTATAAGATTTTCTCATGTTTATCTATACGTCATCAAGTTATTTCAATAACGGTCTTGGTGCGCAATGGGCTATAGAATATGGCCAAATAAATTGACTGTTTGACATGAGCATCTAAATATATATTCTTGGTTTTCCGCAGTAACCTACATTGGCTAAACAGCGCATTTTCTTTTTTATCCTAACCTACCGACGGTATTATTATTCTTGTGAGGGTGAGGGACAATTGGATATTCAGACGGCATCTTAAAAGCCAATTTTTGGACGTTATTTCAAGAGGAATCAATAGACGGAGAACAGTGGGTATCGACTGCGTGGGAAGAAATAATTTGATTTGCTATCGTCGGTCTGTATTGAATGTAATACGTCGACGGCAGACAAATCGGTATTTACGTTTTATAAACGATTGTTTTCTTCGTCCTATCACCGGCACGTGGTCTGAGAACGTTTGAGAATCGTTTTGGAGCTAAGAGAAAAAAGATGCTGGAGCCTTTCTCTCC